CAATCCTTTCCCCAGTCCTTAGCCGCATCTTTTTTTTGCAAACTGCTGAGCTAGATAGTGGGCAGCTGTGGGCAGCTGTGTGGGTCTGAAGCAGTAGAACGAATTTTGAGTCCAGCGGGGCACCTTGAAGCCCAACAAAGGTTTGTTCACAGTATGAGCTTTCGTGTGCATGCACACTTTTCCAGACACATGTATTTGGAAAAGTGTACATATACACGAAAGCTCATACCTTGAATAAACCTTCGTTAGTTTGGTGTAGCCAGTTTGGTGTGGTGGTTAAGTGCGCGGACTCTAATCTGGGAGAACCGGGCTTGATTCCCCACTCTTCCACTTGCACCTGGCTGGATGACCTTGGGCAAGCCGTAGTTCTGATAAGAACTGTTCTTGAAAAAGAGCAGTTTCTGTCAAGAGCTCTCTCAGCCCCACCTACCTCACAGGGTGTCTGTTGTGGGGAAGGGAAAGGAATTTGTAAGCCGCTCTGAGACTCCTTTGAGTAGTGAAGGGCAGGGTATAAATCCAATCTCTTCTTCTCTTCTTCTTCTTCTTCTTAGTCTTAAAGGTGCCACCGGACACACAATTTGTTCTGCTGAGCTAGATGGCTTGGGTGGGTTGCCTCACCGTGGGCTAGGCTGGCTCTCCTTGGCCAGGAAGCTAGCAGCAGGCCGTGTAATATATCTCTGCCTTCCACCCTCCTCTGCAGCACTGGATTCTCCTGGCCCCAGTCTGTGTTCATCCGTCCAAGCCCCGGACAGAGTCCCATGCTCAACCTATCAGGTCAGCCAGGGGGAATGCGAGGACCTGGGATGCTGCTACAACTCCAGAGACAGGGTGGCTCCTTGTTACTATGGCGACAAAGGTGGGTGCAAGGGCAGAGAACCACTTGCTCCGGGGTGGGGGAGCATCACTAGAATGCGCAGAACCAACAGCAAAGGAGCGGGCTTCCCCTTTACACAGTACTGCCCTACCTCCAGAGCCGAAGATTAGCGCCGGTGCATCTTCTATGGCCGTGGGGCTCAGATCCTATGTGGGCTCTCTGAATACTTGAACCGGGGGAGCCCACTACAAGGGTCCCTCATCAGGTTGTGGAGCAGGGAGGTAGAAACTTTGGCTGTAGCTGTGTGTGTGTGTGTGTGTTGCAAAGATGCATTATAGGATGTGTACAGGTGCAGGGATGCCAGCCTCCAGGTGGGACCTGGGGATTCCCTGGAATTACAGCTCATTTCTAGACTCCAGAGATCAGTTCCCCTGGAGAAAATGGATGCTTTGGAGGGTGGACTCTGTGGCATTGTACCCCACTGAGGTCCCTGTCCTCCCCAGGCTCCCATCCCCAAATCTCCAGGAGTTTCCCACCCTGAAGCTGGCAACCCTACCCCACCATCCCCCGCTGTTGGCCAGGGGGGACCTGGCAACCCTAAGGATGTCTACCATTACGCCTCCCCCTTTGGTTAAGCAATTGTTCAAGCGCTGTGAGTAGTAGGGCCTTGACACTGCTTCCTTAGGATTCTAGTAGAAGCTAATTTTTTGTTGTTCAGTCACACAGTCGAGTCCGACTCTTCGCGACCCCATGGACCAGATCACACCAGGCCTTCCGGTCTTCTGCCGTCCTCTGAAGTTTGCTCAATTTCATGTTCGTTGCATCTATGACACTGTCTAACCATCTCATCCTTTGCCGTCCCCGTCTTCTTTGACCTTCAATCTTCCCCAGCATCAGGGTCTTCTAAAGGGCCACATACAGACTGGATTCTGGCTGTTCTCTGTCTCCGAGGTGGACATAGGATGCTGGAGGTTTTGTAGGAAGGGTACTAGTTTTGGTGATCCAGATCCTTCTTTTTTTTTTAACAGTAGTGCTTGTCACTAACCTACCATACGTTTGCAAAGACTACAAAGTCACACAGAGCCGCGTTTCACTTTGAACCGAAATAAACTACTGTATTCTAGAAGTACATGCTTGATAGTGCAGGGTAGAGATACAGGGACAGTTCCTCTGCTACCTGACTAGGAGATGGATGTGGATGCTGAGAGGCATCCTGCATCTCCACCTTGCGTGCATGGAAGAGGGGTGGGGGAAGGAGGCAGAAGGAAGTTGCTTTTCCCTAAAGAGTGTTGATCCACACTTCAAAGGGATTCAGGGAGCAGTAAACAGGAAGATGCTTGACGTCTGCCTATCCGCCTGCGACTCTGTGGTCACTTGCTTCTGGAGGCTGAGACACTGGGACATCGCATCTGGTACTTCCAACATGTTTCTTCATTGTCTTAGTGGCCAATTTCCCCCCAAAGGTTGGAGTGGGTGGGATCACTCTTGCCGGAGACGGCCAGGCGCTCCACAATATATTCCGGTCTCCCATCACTAGAAAAGCTTCTTGTAACTCTGCAGGTTCGGACTTGGCCTTCTGGGTGGCTACTTTCCGTGTGAAGATGTAGCCGGCTGTAAAGACCTCTGCTGTTCTCTCGCCCTGCTAGGAGTAATAACTGAGGCTGCTAGGGGTGGCAGTGGCTCCATGGAATGAGGGGTGAACTTGCTGCTGGCAGAAAAAGGCCCGTTCAGATGGGGAGTCCAGCCTTGGCAGCTTAAACCTTGAGGTCATCCTTCCTGGTTTATTTGGGGTTTTTCTTCTTCTCTTCCTCCCATAGTTACAGCCCACTGCACCCCAGAAGGACAGTTCTCCATTGCCATCTCCAGGGACGCAACCCGTCCGCCTCTCGTCTTGGATTCTGTGCGCTTGCTGAGCAGCCGAGGGAGAGAGTGTGCCCCTGTATCCAAGACCAACACCTTTATCCTTTTCCAGTTTCCACTTTCTGCTTGTGGGACAACGTTGAAGGTACAGTGTAAGGAAAGGGACGTGTCCGGGTCATTCATAAAACTCCTTCTACAGGAGTGGCCCCCGTGCAGCCGCAAGTGATCTGTGCAACAAATCATGTAGATCGGGGGGGGGGTCTCTAATCTTTTTGAGCCTGTGGAATTCTGACTCAAGGTAGAGAGCGCGAGCACAAAATGGCCGCCATGGGATTTGGAGCCAAGCACAAAATGGCGGCCATGATAGGAGGAGCCACACACAAGTGCAGTGGACAAGATGAGTAATTTTTGAAAATACAGTGGGAAAGAGCAGGGAGAGAGAATAAAACAGACGATGTAGTACAGCTGCCACCAAAACATTATTTTGATTTGCACAGCCAATCAGAAGCCCTGCTTGGCAGGCATACCACCTGGCCCCACCCACTTTCTAAAAACTCTTGGGCAGGTGCCAGGAAAGGAATAAGAGGGCACCGTGGCACCCGTGGAAGCCATGTTGGGGATCCCTGCGGTAGATGTTGCACTCTTAACCACTACACCAAACTAGCATGAGTTTTCAAATTTTGCATTCCACTATGTGTTCCTCTGCATCTCTTAGGCTTTCTTTCTCTTCTGGTAAGCTGGAACTACTTTGTACTGTTCAAAGCTTCTCCTTCCAAGTCCACCTAAAAGCCCACATGCGCCTAAAGTCTCCCTAGTACAATTGACTTACAGAAGAATAGAAGAAAAATAAAAGAGTGTGTGTGTGTGCGGGGGAATCTTCCCAGCATATCTGTTGGGCCTCGCTCGCCTCCACCTTCCTCCTCCGGCTTCTTTCCGCAGCCACACCAGACGGCAGGCATCTGGCAAAAGTGGGAGGGGGGGGAGAGCACTGCAGAATCCCGTGGGGAGTGGAGCTCCCCTGATTCATCAAGGATGCAGCCTCATTCATTAACAGCAGGAAACAGATGCTTGGCCATGCAAGGGGGAAAAGGCAAAGCAGAAGCCTCCTTGTGGCCGTCTTGGGAACCGTGACACTCTGAGGAGACTCCTGATACGAGCTGCGTTGGGCTGTTGTGGCAAAGCCAAAACAGACTAAAAAAGTTCATTCCAGCATAAACTTTCATGAGTAAGACCATACTCCTTCAGAGGCCTATCAGAAAGCTGATTTAAATGCAAAGGGGCTGTATTGTTCCTTTATGAGGCGCACCTCCTGCCTTTCCCTCCAGGGACACTCCCAATTGTTGGTACCATCCAGTTCCTGTGAAAACACTGATTGTGTTTTGTCCTTAGGGAGAGATGTGTTTCTAAAAACCCATGCTAGAATTCTACAGGTTTGAGAAATAAAATCTCAATGGAGGCAAATATTTACTTGCTTTGCTTATCCCTGCCTTTCTCCACACCACAACGGGGACCCAAAGTGGCTGACATGACATCATTCTCCTCTCCTCCATCTTATCAACCTCACAACAGCCCTGGGGGGTGGATGAGGTTGTGAGTCTGGGACTGGCCTAAGGTCACCCAGCCAACTTCCATGGCACAATGGGGATTCCGATCTGGGTCTCCCCAGGTCCTAGTCCACAACTATAACCACCACATCACACAGTTCCACACATGAGTAAATGTCAGTAGACTGTTTCTTCTAGTCTCTGTTCTCACCCCATTTCTGCCTCTATACAGAATAATTGTTGTTCAATATATTTGAGTTGCAATTACCCTGTAACAGATATGTTTAGAAGGATGGTGGATTATGGTTGCACTCCTATGCATACTTACATAGCAGTTACAATCAAGTCAACACATTCTATGAAACTGTTAAAAATGGTTACAGTTAGATTATTAACCCCTGCTGCCTCAGAAGCCCATACAGGAAGGCTTTTGCAAAGTGAATAAATACTGGAAATGTGCATTCAGATATTAATCAAAATCTGCCCCCCCAAGCTAATTATATTCCTTAATATAACGAATTTGGGCTGTAAAAAGAATGGAGTCAGTAATGTTCAGAAATCTTCAGATGCATTTGTTATTCTGGTGCCTGTGCTAACTGACAAGGTTCTTACCAATCAACAGAGTTACACAGATCTGTCTCCTACAGAAGATTTTGCTGATAAATATATCTTTGTAAAGTGTTTAGTTTAGTCACATTAATCGCTTAATGGCTTGCAAGAAGGTCTTTGATTCTATATAAGCAGTGGCTCATGTTTGCTTCCTTCATGCTCCCTTTAAAAAAAAACAAAAAACCAAAATCACCATCTCCTGAGATGCTTTTCCAACAAGGGAAAAAATGAAAACATTGGTATCCATATGTTTTCCTTAGCACAGTTAAAAACAGTTGATGGTCTTGATTTTTAGAGGAAAAACAATGTGAGAGGAAATAGCATTTGGTCCCCTCTTTTATATTGCAGCCCCTGTGGTTTCATTCTGCCATAAAATATCATTGGGAAGACATCACCACAGAACTATATAATACCATGCAGTTCCAACCCTTCGGGCCAGACCATGCAAGAAACAAGAGATCCATGAGGAGGGAGGATCTTGGTGCCTTTCATTTACCTTAAAAGTAGCCAGGAGGATTTCAGTGAGTTAAACCTTCATCCTCATGCTATATCCCAGGTTTAAAAAATTATCTCCTACTATGAGCCTTAGAAAAGAAGAAACAACAGGAAACATTTTTAGTTTATCAGAAGGCCAAATTAGACCTCACAGGTCTAATTTGTAGTTGCTCTTGTGCTTGCATGTAAAGACAGGAGAGGGTGAGGGAAGCTAAACCCAGCTCCTGCACTTAACCACTACACCAAACTGGCTCTCGAATTGGACAGGGCAGGAGGATCTGAACAAAGAATATTTTGACTTGATGGAGATTAACAGCAAAGAAGTATTGGGCTGGAGGGACATAGGAGCAAAAATATATCAGTAACCCCACACATTGTAAAGAAAGAGTTGTATTTACCTGGAAAAAATCAAAGGAATCAGTGGCCCAGAATTTGATGTAGACTTGGCAGACTTCATTTGTTCTTTCTTTTTGTCATCATGCAACGTAGTTTATTGGCTATGAATACTGCACTATTCACAATATGCACACTTCGTAGGAATCCAGGACCCAGCCATCATGCAGCAGGTCTAATTCAGCTGAAGTGCCTTGCCCACCCTCAGGGTGGAGCTTCCCAATAGCTGACTGTTAGCCCGTTGTGGAAGGGCCAGCTGTCAGTGAATGCCTGCCTTTTAATGGGCCTGCTGCCTCCCCCCCCCCAACAATTTATTAGGATATAATAAAAATCACACATATATCACAAATTATATTGTTCTACATCCTTTTTCTCCTTTCTCCCCCCCTTTATCAGCTTCCCACAGTGCTCCAACCTCCAGCTCTATCCTTAGAGTTATTTCTACCCTCTCTGTTTCTTTATACATCTACCGGTAACTTATCTTTCAACTGTTGTATTTATATATTTATCTACTAATTTTCAATAATTATCAAAGCAAAATAAATTGTTCTTTAAGTCCCAATATTTCTCTAGATATTCTTTAAAGTCCTTCCAATCTTCAAAAAATTCTTCAGCCTCCAAATTTTTAAGTTTTCTTGTCATTTTGTCCATTTCAACCATAAAAAGCAATTTCCTTATCCATTCCTCAATTTCAGTGATTCTGGGGATTTATCCTTGACTTTTGCCCGGGGTTCCAGACTGCTCCTAGGAGAGACGGAGTTTGTATCCTGCTCCAGGTAGTGGTTCTCGCTCACCCAGACTTGTGTTTCCATTCAGGCAACCGGGAGCCAGCGGGTCTATGAAAACGAGCTGTTGGCGGACAGGCGTGTCCTCGTGTCCCAGTCTGGCTCCATCACCCGGGACAGCAACTTCAGGTAAGGAGCTGCTTAGGCATGCAAAGGAAATGGGCGGATGGAAAACCATGTAGGGGGAGCAAGGAGCAGAAATGAAGGGCAGCTGAAATGCCACTGTCCCCAACTTGGCTATGAAATGCAGTCCTCTCTAGATCTTGAAGGCCCAAAGATTCCCTGCTTGGGATTTACTGACACAATGCAAGCTTCAGTGTGGGCCCCCCCCCCCCATTTCTTATCTTGTCGCTGACTGTCCCAAATACAGGGGTTGCCAGTCCACAGGTGGAGAACAAAGATGGAAACAACCGTGATGTGGTATTGTGAAAATATATTTAGACTGCTGTTTTGCAGTGAGTAATCTTTCCTCAACAAGTAATAAAGATGTACACATACACACAAGGGAATTCTCGACTGTGTGACTGAACAACAACAAAACCTTTCCTCAACAAGAAATAAAGATGTGCACATACACACAACGGAATCTGCCTATACTCCCGTTTCACATGACAGCTGAGCACGGAAAGAATCTGTTCCATTGGAGTGGGAAGAATGTTGAGTGTTAATTCGCAGATTAAAATTGTTGACATGTAAATTAATGTTACTTACGCAGCACAATGAGAAAAGGCTGACATGTGAAACGGGAGTATACTCCGCTGTTGAGTGTTAATTCGCAGATTAGAATTGCTGACACGTAAATTAATGTCACTTACGCAGCACAATGAAAAAAGGCTGTCATGTGAAACGGGAGTATACGCAGACTCCGCTGTGTGTACGTGTACATCTTTATTACTTGTTGAAGAAACACTACTCACTGCAAAACAGCAGTCTAAATATATTTTCATAATACGACCTCACGGTTGTTTTCATCTTTGTTTGCATCCTTCCCGTGATCGCTCTGTTGTTCGCAGGTGGTGGCCGGAGATCTCCCGGAATTATAAGTGGCCTGCAGACTACAGAGATCAGTTCCCCTGGAGGGGGGGGGGGCTTTGGAGGGTGGACTCTATGGCCTTATGTATCCCCCTGAGGCCCCACCCCAGGCTCTACACCCAGAATCTCCGGGAATTTCTCAGTCCGGAGCTGACAATCCTGTGGCTGTATATCTGGCATCAGATTACTATTTTTTAAACCCTTTTTCTCTGCTCACATTTATGGCTATGCATTACAGTTGGGTTCCCTTTAATGCTTAGTTTAGCGATGCCAGTGAATACCTACTTACTGTAACTGAATTAAGCTTTACAGACGGCCAGGGGTCATTTTGTAGAAAAAGAGGTGCAGGAGCTCATTAGCATAACTCATTAGCATAACTTATTTGCATATGCCACACCCCCTGACATCACCAGAAGTGTGTCAGAAGGCAACACCCACCGCTCAGGCTCCACTGGACTGTTTTGGATTGCTAGCTATGGGGGAGGGGACGTGCAGTTCTCGCAGAGGAGGGAGAGCCTCGCAGAGGAGGGAGAGCTTGTACCTGAATAAAAGTTGGTCTTAAAGGTGCAACTGGACTGTTTTGGACTGGGGGGCTGGGGGGAGCTCTGCAACTTACCTGGCTGCTTCTTGCTCTGACTGAGGGCTGCTGGGAGCAGGGGGTGGGGCTTGTTGCATGTGCCCACCCCCTGGGCTCTTTACTGCCGGAGCTCCGCTCCTGTGCGCTCCTGCAGGAAATTACGCCTGCAGACGGCTGGTTTTTTTTTACTGTGACTCTGTGCTGCTTGCGGAGACTGAAATTCATCTGCATTGGTGGGAGGATGGGTGGTGGGGTTTTTTGTTTGTTTGCAGGAGCTGCGATCACGAGAGATCTTTAAGTCCTCTTGCTCTATATGGGCCGAGACCTCTGGCCGTAAAAGGGCTGCAATAAAATGCAGGAACCTGGCTTGGCCCATCTGGCCGCTTTGCTCATCCTTTGCTTTTTTTTCATGCAGAGTCACCATCCGTTGCAGCTACTCCGCCGAAGCCGCCTTGCCAGTCAGCGTCTTGGTTGCCACTCTGGCGCCCCCTGCTGCCGTTGTCGAACAAGGACCGCTCACCTTGGAGATGAGACTGGCACGGGGTGAGTTCCCCTCTCTCAAAGAGGGCAAGTGAGTTGGGCAACGAGGTGGGGTTGGGGGTGTTGTTCAGTGGAACAGGACAAAACCATTCTTACCCCACACTGGGCTCTCCATGCAAGGAAGAGGGGGGAGAGCAATTCAATCGATTAATAATTTATTACAGATGATAACCAGAAACCAAGCTTGCTGTTCTTTTTAATCTGTTAAAAAACATGTTGCTATTCTGCATGTTAATTTAGCAAGCCACCATCTATATGTACAACTACGATGTAATTCCATTTTGTTGTCTAACAAAGTGTGTGCTCACACGAAAGCTCACACCTTGAGTAGAACTTTGTTGGTCTTAAAGGTACCACTGGACTCTTAACTTTTATTACTCTCCTGGATCAGTGGAAAGGTGGGGGGAAAGCAACTGAGTCTTGTAAACATCGGCAGATGTTCTAACCGCTCCGAGCACAGAAGGCTGAGAATTTCTGCCTTCTCCTTTGTACCTGCAGCCTATTCTGGTCCTCGGAAGGAGCATTCCCAGGTCTGTGAGGAGGAGGAGGAATTGCTGTACAGATGAGGAGGGGGGCAGAGTGAAGGTGGATAAGAAGATGAAATCTTTCCTCCTTCCTCTTCTGCAAACCCATTTGATTTCGTCCTCCTGTTCCTCCTTGCCATCGCCTGCTAACCTGTGCAGCTGTTCTCTACATGAATCCTGCAACCTCAGGAGATGATCTTTCTAGGGGCTGGAAGGGGCTGCACAATGTGGGGAAACTTCGTGTGAATGGACGGTACGTGGCACTGTTCCCCAGGAAGCACCCTTGCTCACGTGCCATAACCTTTTTAGACCCTCAAGGTTTTGGGTGTACAAAAGTGAGGGGCCGTAGCACAGTGGCTTGGCCTGCAGAGGGGTCCTAGGCAATGTTCCCTCTAAGCCGAGTTGGTGTGAGCTAGCTCACAGTTTTTTAGCCTCCGGCTCACACATTTTTGACTTAGCTCAGGAAGGATGGCTCCAGAGCAAACTAGTTCATGCAGTAGCCAAATGGTGCGCTCACAACTTTAATGCCAGGAGCTCACAAAGTAGAATTTCTGCTCACAAGACTCCAGAGCTTAGAGGGAGCGTTGGTCCTAGGGTTCAATCCCTGTAGTCTCCCGTGAAAGGGTCTTCTGCCAGGAAACTACTGCCAGTTCACAAAGACAGCTCTGGAGCAATAATCTGACTCTCCTCCTACATGAAGCTACCTGGCTTCTCCCTCCCTCTCTCCAGATGTGGAGTACTCCTCCTATTACGCTGACCTGGATTACCCTGTGGTGAAGGTTCTCCGTGACCCGGTTCCTGTTGAAGTCCGCATCCTCGGGAGGATGGACCCGGCATTGGTTCTGGTCCTGCATGAATGCTGGGCCACACCAAGTTCCAACCCCCTGCAGAAACCAGAATGGCCACTTCTGGAGAATGGGTCTGTATGCACTACACGATCTTCTAGGGTACAATTGATGGATGAACAGTACCCAAAAGGAAGGAGGCGTATGGATGGTTTGTATTGCAATTGGAGCATGCTTGTCTGAGTGCAGTCCGTGAGAACAGTGGCTTCATTTGGATCATGCGAAACAGTGGCTTGGTGTGTCCTAGTGTTGTTAACCATGCTTTGAGCTTTTAGGTGCAAACTAACTGTGGATGCGGAATCCTTATTTTGTCATTGCTTTTTCCTAGCTTCCTGGCTTCATAAACACCCATCTCAACAGCGAGAGCCAGTGTAGTGGTTAGAGTGCTGGACTAGGATCTGGGAGAACCCAGTTCAAATTCCCGTATTAATATCATCATCATCTGGCAGTGTGTGTAGAATAGCCAGGAGATCCTAAGATTGTCTGGCAGCCGGAAGTTCTAGCTCTTTTAGCATTATGCGCCACTAGGTGGCGAGCTAGACTGGCAGTCGGAAGTTCTAGCTCTTTTAACATTATGCGCCACTAGGAGGCGAGCTAGACTTGTTTTTAAGGCAAGAGAACTTTCAGGGTTGGTTTGCCGTTGCCTGCCTCTGTGTCATGCCCCTGGTATTCCTTGGAGGTCACCCTTCCAAATACTAGCCAAGGCCGACCCTGCTTAGCTTCCGAGATCTGACTGGGCTAGCCTGGGCAATCTAAATTCCCAGTCTGCCATGGAAGCTTGCTGGGAGACCTTGGGCAAGTCACACATTCTCAGCCTCATCCACTTCACAGGGTGGTTGTGGGGATAACATGGAGGAGAGAAGAACGATGCTGTAAGTTTCTTTGGATCCCCATTGGTGAGACAAATATAAGTAAGGTCAGGGCTATTTTTGGGCAGGAACGCACAGGAACGGAGTTCCGGCTGGCTCCCAAGTTGGCCACACCCAGCAGGAACTCATTAGCATAATAGGCCACACCCAACACCAGAAACTCATTAGGATTGGCTACATTAGGGGTGTGTGGCCTAACATGCAAAGGAGTTCCTGCTACAAAAAAAGCCCTGGGTTTTGACAACAAACAAGGTAAACAGAATAAGAAGCAAAAGGTGGGTGTGGCCGGATGACCACACTTCTGGTAACATGGGGTGTGACCTAATATGCCAATGAGCTGTGCTGTCAAGGGTGTGGCCTAATATGCTAATGAGTCCCTGCTGTTAGGTATGGCCTGTTATGCTAATGAGTTCCTGCTGGGCTTTTTCTACCAAAAAAGCCCTGAGTAAGGTAGAACATCTGTCCCTCTGACTTGGTACTGATTGTTCTGTTTTGGGATTTTAACTTGGCCTCTGCTAGAACCCAGTCACTTCTCTTGTGCCAAGCTAAATTTGAACCAATGTTGCATGTCTTTTTCCAGGCAGTTCCAAAGATTGTTCCACAGACTTCCACTAAGGTTTTTTTTAAAAAAAGAAGAAGAAGAGTTGTTAAACTGGCTTGACATTAGTTTTAAGTTTCAACTGTAGGATAGTTTAGGGGTGTTTCTACCTAGCACCAAGCTCTTAAGACCAGGGATGCACCATGCATGGCCCACCAACACCTGCAATGCAGTTCACAAGCCCCCCCCACACACACACATTTAATGACTCATAGGCATTGCTGGACTCCCTGCTGCCAACTGTTTACAGATCTGAGCAGGGGCCAGTTCATTAGTGTAGGAGTAGCTGGGTGCCAATTAAACAGCACCATTAGGAGATGGGTGGTGGTGATAAGGGGTCATTTTGTAGAAAAAGAGGTGCAGGAGCTCATTAGCATAACGTATTAGCATAACTTATTTGCATATGTCACACCCCCTGACATCACCGGAAGTGTGTCAGAAGGCAACACCCTCCACTCAGGCTCCACTGGACTGTTTTGCTAGCTATGGGGGGGGGGGGGACATGCAGATCTGCAGAGGAGGGAGAGCTTGTACCTGAATAAAACTTGGTCTTAGTCTTACAGGTGCCGAGGCAATGTTTTGGACCTGGGGGGGGGGCTTGGCAACTTACCTGGCTGCTTCTTGCTCTGACTGAGGGGTGCTGGGAGCAGGGGGGCGGGGCTTGTTGCATGTGCCCGCCCCCTGGGCTCTTTACCGCCGGAGCTGCGCTCCTGTGCGCTCCTGCAGGAAATGACCCCTGGTGATACCTAAGCAAGCTGCCTAGAGGCATGTACTTCCAGTGCACTTTGTCTGGGCTTTTCCGCATTCTCATTTTTACTCCTTGGCTGGTTCTGCATCTGGCATTCGCACCACACTTTCTCAACACAGAGGGAAAGGTACAGTTCAAAACCACATTCAAATACCCCGGAGCCAACGCCATACTGACTGCAACGTCACCCCTGCATGGCCATAAAACGGCCATACATCTATGCAGAAGGTACCATAAAATCCACTGATCAAAGAAAGTGAAAGCAGCACGCAATGCAGAGGGGAATTTCTGTTCCAAGGTGGGTTTGCTAAAACAATGGACGGAAAAGCCAATGCAGAATCGCCCGTTAAGTTCCTGTTTCTTCGGGGGAGGGGGCTTTTCTGCATGTTTCTTGCTCCCTCTAGTGGTCGATTCAACATCAAACAGGGTTTTCCCCAGTTGATTTCCTTATAGATGTAAACCACAGGGAAATAAACTGGGGGGGGGGGGCACGTGTTGGTTATTGAATTGACTACTAGTGGGAGCAAGACACATGCAGAACAGGGGGGAAACCAAGAAGAAACAGGAACTTAACAACCAGCAAAATGCGAATGCGGAGAAGCCCTCTGTTAAAATACGAATAAAACTGTCAGCCAAGTTCTAGTGGAACTGAGTGCGGGTTGAAGAGTTAAAGGCCTTTCCCTTCCCTTCACGACCTTGAGAAAATTGAGGCTGTGCAGGCCTACAGCTTGTCTGCAGAGTGAGATGGGAATTTTCACTTTGTTTGAGCCCTAAGCGTTTCTGAATATCCAGCACTCCAAACTCTACTGGGCCTGATCCTATGGGACAGGTGCTGTCATACTTTCATGATATGACCTACCGAAGCAATCCAGTCAAGGTTGCTTCTGGTCCTTGTAACTGTATGAGCTGTTGCTCAGGCGACCTGTGTTATCACTAGCACAGACAGAGTTAAATTCCAGTGCTTCCTTCCTTAATTAAAATCTGCAAAATGGGCTATCTGAAAATGCTTCCACTAGTGCAGAACTACAGGAATATTGATTTACTTAAAAATTTATTCAATATTATTCTGTTGAGGCTCCTTAATGCTTGACCAGTTTCATATTATGCCCATAACCCAGAGAGCACTGTGTTCAGGGGCCCAGAACCGGCGGGCTCTCCCGAGCTGTAAGGAGGCTAGGGTTTTCTCAGTGGTGGCTCCGTCCTGGTGGAATGAGCTCCCAGTAGAGATCAGGGCCCATAAAATGGAGCTCTTCCACCAGGCCTTTGGAGCCGCCACCACCGCTGAACATCATCAATAGTTAACAGCAGTAAAGTAGAGAGCTCTGTGTCCCTGGGATTTTAACAACGGTGCCAGTGACAATCGCTCCTATGATATCTGAAGGAGATCTGAGAGCCGATATTCTGGAGAGAGAACCGAGTACGGCAGCCATCGTTGAAGTAACAACAACCACAACCAAGGACAATTAATACTAGCACTTTGTCATCAATTGGTTGTAGTACGGTTTTAAGTATTTTAATTGTTTTTACTGTCATTCAGGGCTATTTTGGGGCAGGAATACACAGGAACGGAGTCCCGGCTGGCTCCCGAGTTGGCAATGCCCAGCAGGAACTCATTAGCATAATAGGCCACACCCAACAGCAGAAACTCATTAGGGGTGTGTGGCCTAACATGCAAAGGGTTCCTGCTACAAAAAAAAGCCCTGGGTTTTGATAACAAACAAGGTAAACAGAATAAGAAGCAAAAGGTGAGTGTGGCTGGATGACCACACTTCTGGTAATGTGGGGGTGTGGCCTAATATGCTAATGAGCTGCTCTGTCATGGGTATGGCCTAATATGCTAATGTGTTTTTTCTGTTGGGTGTGGCCTGTTATGCTAATGAGTTCCTGCTGTGCTTTTTCTACAAAAAAAGCCCTGCTGTCATTTATGTACTGTTTTATGTGAGCCACCCTGAGCCAGCCTCAGCTAGGAGGGCGGGATAGAAATCTGATAGACAAAAATGAAAATAAATAAAAAATAACAGGGACAAAATGACTGCAGGATTAGGAATGCAGGTGCGTTTTTTTTAAAAAAAATTAACCATAAGAGCTAGAAACTTAACTCTCTGCTTTTAGAAACCGAAGGCTGTATTCTTTGTCTAGATATCACTATGCAGAAACTGACTAGACTAATTGCAAAGCCCAGTTTCTTGTCATGGTTTTCAGATGCCCCTATAAAGGAGACAACTACCAAACCCAGGTGGTGCCCATCAGGGGAGACTCGGGGCTGCCGTTCCCCTCCCACCACCAGCGCTTCATCGTCAGCACTTTCACTTTTGTGGAGACGGCTTCCCAGAGGATGCTCACTGGGCCGGTAGGACCTGACATGGGTGGGGTGGGAAGGGCTGCAGATAACTGCAGGAGAACAGGCAGGCTCGTAGCCAGGATTTTTAAAGTCGGGGGGAGATTTAAATTTCTTAGGGGGCCATTGATGGTGATGATGCTGTTGTAGTCTTCCTGTGTATGGGCTTCCTAGAGGGAGCTGGTTGGCCCCGGTGTGAACAGAACACTGGACTTAGCTGTGCTTTTGGCCTGATCCCATATGGCTCTTCTAATATTCCTTCCTCCTTGTCTACAAACCCAGGTGTATTTCCACTGCAGTGCCTCGGCCTGTGTACCTTCAAGGCAGGAGAGATGTATCGTCCGTTGTGAGGTGACCGCTCCGGGAAGAAGTGAGTCTTAGCTTGGAGTGTGTGGGGGAGGGAGCTAGCCTACCTCACAGGGTTGTTATGAGGATAAAATGGAGGAGAAGAACGTAAGCTGCTTTTGGATCCCGACTGGGGGTGTGTGGGAGTCAGGATATCAATGAATTGGTTATTAAGAGCCAGTTTGGTGTAGTGGTTAAGAGCGTGGAATCTAATCCTGGAGAATCGGGTTTAATTCCCCACTCCTCCACATGCAACTGCTAGTGTGACTTTGGGTCAGTCACAAGTTCTCTCAGAGCTGTTCTCTCAAGAGCAGTCCGCAAAAGAGCTCTCTCAGCCCTACCTACCAAACAGGATGTCTGTTGTGGGAAGGAGAAGGGGAAGGGAAAGGAGATTGTAAGCCTCTCTGAGACTCCAAGTGAAGAGTGAGTATAAATCCAGTCTCTTATTCTTTTCTTATTTCAGAGGTAGACAATTCCTTGTCCATAATTTTAGGATCCAACACTTCTCTGTTGCCCCCTGAGCTGCCCAATGTAAGTAACATCTTCTGCTTCTCCTTCCAGGACAAAGAACAGCAGAGGAACATCCAGAAGAAAAGCTGGTCTTGGTGACCTTGAATGGGCCTGTGAACTTTTCCAGCCCCCAAGAGGCAGAAATGCTACCTCACCAAGGTAATGGAGGCACATGTGAGGGGCGGGGGAGAAGCTTCAGCTAGCAGTTGGCTGTGAAGACTTCCAACCTACTTTAGCAGCAGCTACCACCACAGCACAAAGATCTTTACTGTGCATCTTTTTTTCTAATTGCGAAGCTGGCCACATCTTTGGATACTTAAACCTGGTGACTGGAGCTGCAAAAAGGGCAAGATGTATCTTTCTACAAACTTGAAAAGGGTCCCAGGGTTGCAGGAAAATGTAAAATCTTTTTTTAAAAAATGGGTGGTTTAAAAATCCAAAAATGATAAAAGGAGCGCCTGTAGCTTTAAGCAACAGATTCCCTTGGTGACTGTTGCTAGGTAACCACAGTATTCCAGGCTTCAGTTTCTGTGAGTAAAAAAGCAGGGCGGTGGCAGAGCCCTTTCCAGGTTTATTTGGGCCTTTGAGGGGGGATTCATTGGGGCCAGGCCTGACTAGGGCTGCCAGCTCCAGGTTGGGAAATCCCTGAAGAACTTGTGGTAAACTCTGAGGAATGCAGGGTTCGGGGAGGGGAGAGGCCTCAGCGTGGTGTAATGCCGTAGGGTTCACCCTCCAAAGCAGTTATTTTCTCCAGGGGGGCAGCTCTCTGTTGTCTGGAGTTCAGTTGTAATTGTGGGAGATCTCCAAGGGGGTTGCCAGGTCTGGGTTGGAAAATACCTGGAGACTTTGGATCCGGGAGAAGGCGGGGTTTGGGGAGGGGAGGGGCCTCAGCATGGGACAATGCCATAGAATCCACCATTCAAAGCAGCCATTTTCTCCAGGGGAGCTGATCTTCGTCAGCTGGAGATCAGTTGTAAAAGCAGGAGATCTCCAAGCCCCACCTGGAGGCTGGCAACCCTAGCAAGACCCAGGTTCAGATCCCCATCTTGCTCTGGAAGCTGACTGGGTGATTTTGGACCAGTCACATACCTTCAGCCCAACCTACCTCACAGGGTTATTGTGCGGATAAAAAAGAGGAGAGCAGAATAATCCATGCTGCTTTGGTCCTTACTGTGAGGAAAGGCAGGGTATAAATGAAGTACAGTTTGGTGTAGTGGGTTAAGAGCAGCAGATTCGAATCTGGAGAACTGGGTCTGATTCCCCACTCCTCCTCGTGAAGTCTGCTGGGTGACCTTGGACCAGTTACAGTTCTCTCAGGACTCTCTCAGCCCCCTCTACCTCACAGGGTGTCTGTTGTAGGGAGAGGAAGGGAAGGTGATTATAAGCAGCTTTGAGTCTCCTTAGAGTAGAGAACAGCAGGGTATAAAAACCAATTCTTTTTCTACATTAAGCTGACTCAACCATGGTGTATCTGGCAATGGCATACAGAACAACAGGATTGGGCTACACACCTGGAATCTAAGTAATTTGCTTGGGAGTCTGTCCTACAGAATACAGTTAGATTTACTTCAGAGGAAACAGCTTTTGGGTTACAGCGTGTCATGCTATTATTTTATAAAAATCTAAACTGGGTTATATTGTCCAAATGATCTGTTGCTTTTTAATATTTCCTATCCATTTTTTCTATTGATAAAAGAGCCAGTGTAAGATAGTGAAACTAAGGCTTGAAGGCTGGCAATACTGTTGTGATTGCCTGCAATGGCAACTGAGGGCATTCGTTTCTTAAAGATACAGGCACTGTTTCTGTTACTGGGGTACAGGTTAACCCCTCTTTTTTAAGATTAGATCAGTTCCCCTGGAGAAAATGGCTGCTTTGGAGTGTGGGCTCTATGACACTGTACCCTACTGAGGTTGCTTCTCTCCCCAAACCTCACCCTCCCAAGGCTCCACCCACAGGTCTCCAGGAATTTTCCCACCTGGAGCTGGCAACCGTAAGGGGAACTGATCTCTGTAGCTGGGAGATCTGTTGTGATTCCAGGAGATCCCCAGGCCTCACCTGGAGACTGGGAACCCTAAAAGGAGAGAAGGAGGCAGGAAATAGTGGGGGAATGAGATGCCTCCCACAAGTCTTTGCAGCTCCCACTTGTACATTCTAAAAGTCATCCTGCTAAACAGATTCTGTGTGAAATGTTGAAGCGTTACTATGAGAGTTATGCGTGATCTCCCTCCCTGACATTTTGTGGCTGGCTCCGCTTCCTGAGGCAGCCACTTTGTGGTTGTGCCCCCACCCACTCTGTGTCAGAATTCCCAAGGTGCCCTCAGGCTTGAAAAGGTTGGGGACCCCCCCCCCCGCTATAAAGCCATGCCTTGCCCCCAGGTTGCACCCTTGTCGATCAGTTCTGAGAGCGGCGGCATCTTGCTCTAGCGCCTGGAGTCTTCTCCTGATGCCAGCACATGAACAAGGTTCCTTGTGCAGGAGGAAAACAGCCTTGCAGGATCTAGCCGAATGACATGGTATTGCTTAAAGCAGGGGTCCCCAATGCGACGCCTGTCGGTGCCATGGTGCTTGCTGACACCTTTCCTGGTGGCCCCCCCTCCAAGTGTTCTTAGAAAGTGAGTGGGGCCCGGGGGGGGGGGGCTTTGCCCAGCAAGGCTTCTCATTGGCCTTTGGAGTTTTGACTGACTGTGCAGATTCTTAAAACATTGTTCTGGCGGCAGCTGCCACCACAGCACAAAGATTACTGCGCAGCTGAAGGTAAGCTGTGGCAGCCGTTTTGTGGCTAGCTCTGCCTCCTGCGGTTGGCAGGCAGAGGGGCCTGATCTCAGTCGCCTGGGGATCAATTGGAATAGCGGGAGATCTCCAGGTGCCAGTTGGAGGTTGGCAACTCAATTGAAGTGGGGAGAACTAGGGCTTACTCTTCACACGGCCCTCAGCCTCCAGAAGAAGAGCTGGCTTTATACCCTGCCCTTCATTCAGAGTCTCAGAGCTGGTTATGATTATAGCAATGAATCAGGCCGTTGCCTAGGGCACCAAGCTTTCAGGGATGCTAAATTAGAAATTAATTTCTGTGTCTCATTTTACACTGTTAATTTTGAATGCTAAGTCAATCTTGGGGGGGGGGGCACCACACTCATAGTTCAGGTACAACACCCAGAATCCTTCAGCTGGCCCTGCCCTCCATGAAATGCCTTGCAAATGCCTTCAGAGGAGTGAATGCTACAGTTTTAGAGGTAACAGTGGCTGGGGCTTCGGGCCAGAGATCTCCTGCCAGGGTTGCATGGAGAGAGACTTCTTCATTCGGCAGTAACTCTTCTCCTTTCCCCCCCTTCTAGGACTTCAGAGGTTCTCCCAAGACAGCTCGGTTCAGTAGCAGGAATTGCCGCGGTGCTGGCTGTGGGCGGCCTAGCAGCTGTGGTTCTCAGGGAGCGCTGGGGCAGGCGAGAGAAAAGTTTATTTCGCTGTGCCTGAAGAATTAAAAAAAAAGTTCAAACCTGTTCCAGTCTTCTCTGCTGCCTGTCAAAAGCTGTCTTACAGACAGATCTGTAATCCACTGAGGTTGGTGCTGCTTCATGGACAAAAAGATCTCCTTAATGCCCGATGCCAGGCAGGGGGGTGGGTTTGACAGTGACTGGAACCTAGAATGGGGCCCTCTGCACCTCTGATTGTGCTGCGAGCTCTCAAAGTCCTGTTTTTTGCAAGCCCTCAGAATCCTGTTTTTGCCTCTGCCTTGGGAGAGATGAGATGTGGTCTCAGGTATGGGGGTTCTGCATGCAAGTCATGCGGATGGCCATTGAACGGCAGTGGCAGGCTACTCTAAGGTCCATCTGAATCAGCAATCAGGTTCCTTGTAACTCGATGTGCTTCAGTTTGCAGCCTGCAGGGAAACATCCCTCACATGACCTCCAGCTATGGTCGCCAGCTCTGGGTTGGGAAATACCTGGAGACTTCAGGGGTGGAGCCCGGGGAGGGCAGGGACCTCAGCAGGACATAATGCCGTAGAGTCCACCCTCCAAAGCAGCCATTTTCTCCAGGGAAGCTGACCTTGGTTATCTGGGGATCAATTATCATAGCGGGAGATCTCCAGGTCCCATCTGGACGTTGGCAACCCTACCTCTAGCTGAAAGCCCATGAAGCTTC